TGGCACAAGTTACCTAGCCTATTCAGAGACGCCGGACTCTTCTCCGAACCGCATTTTATGTTTTGGCTCTTCATATGTGTTTTTGTGATTGGGTTTCTCTGCTTGTTCAACTCATCGTCGCTGTGCCTCTCACACTAACTGCTCAAAATGTACGCTAAAAATATATGAGTTGAGCTCCTTAGTAGATAACTCGATTCATAGTCGGAGCTTTCTATCAGTTCATTTCCATTTCAGGTCTACAAAGACATGAACGTTCTCTTCATCTACAGTATCACCAATTTCACCGATACCGTCATCTTCAACTCGTTGATGATACTAACGTTCTGGATGGCTGTGAATCGTTTGACGGTTTTCTGGTCAAAGAGGCTCAACTCATGGCTTTTTGGGAGAAAGGGACTTTTTATGTGAGTTAATTCTTTCAATTCCTACCTTATTCAAACTTATTCAGATTAATCCCTTTAACTTATCTGTATTGCTTGGCTGATACATCGACAAGACAATTCTTTGGCTGTACAAAGAACTTTTCCACCGATGGATTCTATTTCTTTCATACTTGTGTCACGGCTGTTGGACAAGGGATCTTGAATGTAAGCTTATAAATTCTATCAAATAACAATGAGGTTCAGTTTAATGGTGGTCAAAACACGGGTCTTCCCGCTGCAATGTTTGTCATTTATCTGGGCTTATTTCTCTATTTGAGAACATATTTAAAAATTGTTGACAAAAGCAGTTCGGATGCGTTTCGAGAGAAGAGAAATGTTGAGTTCAGCCTTCTCATTCAGGTGAGCTGGATGAGCCAATTGATCACCTGTTTTGAGAACCAGAAAACTTCTAGGACTACTTCTAGGATCTTACTCTAAGAAAGAGTTTGACATAAACAAAACAATAAGCAAAAAATTTGACATAAACCATATATACAAAAACAATTTCAGGGTAGCATCATCTGCTTCTTCCTTGAATTGCAAACTCTCTCATTTATGTTATTCTCAAAGATCCCCGTTTCTGGAATGGGTTCTTTTTACTTGACTTTTCTGCAAAATATCATTTCAATTTTAAACAATTGTGTCAGGTATAAGAATCTTGAACAATTTGTAAAAATTTCGAACTTTCAGCCCGGCGATTTATTTCACTTGCAACAAGGACATTCGATCGTATGCTTTCGAGTTTTGGTTGTATTGTAAAGGTGAGTAAGGTTAAGAATCATATGCAAAACTTTGTTATAAACGTGTATACATTTGTTCTAGGTGAACGTTTGGAAATCACGACAATCAATTTTCGCTTATCGATAGAAAACTCGAGGAGAAATTCAAAAGTAGTGAGCTCGATGATTCAATACTAATAAATTTGAAATAAACTTGTAATTTGTAAACCTTTAACATTCTAACACACAATATTTTATAATCGCATTGGAAACGAAGTCAAATCAACTTGAACTTGAAAAGTCTTTGCTTGAGTTTCTTTGATTGATTGAAGTAACGACTGAATTTGTCCACCGGCATTTGGTAAATTGCTGAGACGCTGAAACATTTGATGTACCTCAATCGGAGTCATCACTTTTTCTTTTTCATTCAAATTCAAATTTTGCAACATCCTTCTTTGAAGTTGATACTCGTACAAACTCTTTTCGTAGGCCTCAATTCTTTTCTGATTTCCTTTGCCTATTCTTAGCAGTAATTGCTCGTCGTGACTTGCATTCAGAAGGCTCTCTTCCACCAAATCTTTCATCGTAACCATTGCTTCTTTCTAAATTCAAGAGTAAATTTAGAATGCTAAATTCTAACTTTGCTTATTTAGGACAAATAATATTTTATATTGTTTAAACTTCCAATTTTTTTTGCAAAAATGACCTGTAGAAATAACATAAGCTGGGCGATTGCTTGCAAAATTTCTTTCCTTTCCAGCTCCAATTTGGAAATTTCCAGATCTAGGCTCTCATTGATTAACTCCTTTTGGCCTTTTTTATGCACGACTTCATTAAGAACTTCACGCGACTGTGGATCTTCGTATGGTATTTGCACCCAAACTGGATAATCATACCACAAGCTGGGAGACGAACCTGAGCATTCACACGCCTCACATATTTCATCGCGGGCTTTAATGTGATAACCTGTAGAGTTCCAATCATTTTGATAAAGGGCTCGTGCAACAATGATTGATGAAAAGGCTTTCTCCAATGCCAAATGGCATTTGTTGCTTGGCGGGTGCCCATTGTCTAGTTGCATGTTATTTTGACATTCTTTTGAATTACATACATGCATGGGTGGATCTAGTCTTTTTTAATCGTTTTTCGCTTTTCCACTGCACTAAATTCTTGGTGAATCTTTCTTCCAATTGAGCCAAGGCTCTTACTGAATCGGTTCCATTTGTGCGTTCCTCTATGTCGAGCAAAAGTTGAGAGCTGATCTCGGCCAATGGCTTATACAAAGTCAAGACGACCCTTCGAGCGCTATTCAGCGTGATGCTTTCTTTGACTGAATGTGGCGACAATGTAGATATATGCTTTAATAAACGATCGATTTCCTTTTTGTTTTGTTCCCAACTATCGTGACAATGCTCAATGATGCTTTCGGAGAGAGTGAAGCCGCTCTGTCGCGCCGCCATGCAGCGGAAAGCCTCGCTCTCAAAATAATAAAGGCTCTTTGTGGTGGTGTCAATTGCGAGCCCCTTTTTCTAAAAATTTTTATAATTAGTGTTCTTTATATACTTTCCGTGTACAGTATCATAAAATTTGGCTCTATTAAAATTTCCTCCTTGCCACTATTCAGTAGCAGCTAGTTAAGGATTGTTAGGAATGATGAAATTCAAATTTATGGTACCTTTTTGAAAATTACAATCTCAATTACCGTAAATGCTGCATTAGAACGACACCTATCTACATTTGAAATAGAATTTTTTTAATTTGCATTCAAAGTTTGTTTCCAAACTGGGCAGCACTATGCATAGTTTCAAATTCATTTTCAAAAATTTATCCTTTTCATTTCGCGCCAAACATTTATTACATTTGCAGTCATGAACAAAAGTCTTTGCCCCTACCGAAATCGGCTTTTAAAACGCGAAATTTTTCTACTTTTCAACAAGCTTTAAAAATTGTTTCAAAAGTATTTACTCTAGTTTAATATCCCATAACCAAAAGAAATAACAATTTATTTCAAGCAACAAACAACGACGTCAACAAAAAACCCCTCAAAACAGGTGGACAAAAGTCTTTACCCCTTTTTAGCAGCTTTTTATTTTCTTGCTCTTGTTTCATCATGTTTCACATAACAATGTTTTATTATCTTTTCATTTTAGTGATTCCTGGGGCTTATCTGAACACTCTCGACAAAGAAAAGATTGTGGAAGCAAGGAAAAGAGGCGCGAAAGTAAAGGATGTTGCGAGCTTATTCAAATGCAGCCCCGAGAGGGGTGAAAAAACTTTGCAAGAAAGCAAAAACGACTGGAACTCTTCACCGAGAATTTAAAACAAGTCGTTCACCCATCACAACAACAAGAGAAGATAAGACTTTAATCTTGGCACACAAAAAGGATCTTAATGCTTCCGATGGAGCCATATTGGTCAAACAGCAATTTAACAAGGATATCAATCGAAAGACAGTGAGCAGACGTTTGATTCATGCAGGACTTTTTACAAGATGGGCCGCCAAGAAGCCTTTGATGGTCGCCAAACACCGGAAGATCGGACTCGACTTCGACAAAAAGTACGAAAGTTGGACGAGCAACGACTGGGCCAATGTCATCTTCACCGATGAATCGAGGATCAACCTTTTGAATCCCGATGACAATCATTTGATCCGGAGACCTGTCGGTATAACACCGAATACCTTCGTCCTACAGTCAAATTTGGTGGCGGATCAATCGTGTTGTGGGGTAAGAAACTTTCGATTTTTATGCCTATTGATTTTGTTTTTTAGGAGCGTTTACCAGAAGTTCACCAGGTCCGCTCGTTCTTCTCAATTAAACCTTGGACGCTCAACGATATCAGGCAATTTTGGAGAACGATCTGCTTCCATTTGCGACCACAAATATTGGACAAGGATGGCTGCTGTACCAGGACAATGCTCCATGCTACAAGTTGCAACTGCTAATGGGACGAGTTTATCGCCTTACCAATGGTGGTAGAGCTCGTCTACCCGGATGGTTTCGATCGAATAGAGTCCAGATCAGATCTGCTCCTCCCTACAGCCCAGAGTTAAAAGTTATCCAACATTTGTCGGTGTTTTCAAAGTCAAAATTGAAGGGGAAACGCTTCAATAGCAGGATTGAGCCATGGTACTTTGTTTCGATGTTTTTAATAAAATACTTATTGAATGAAATAGGCTTTTTTGAAATGGATATTATTTTTTGTGACCCGCAGTGGCGATTCGAATGAAAAATAGAATGATACCCTCTACTAGAACGACACCCTAGGCGGGGAATTGGAAAATAGAGCGACATGTCGTTCTAATACAGCATTTACGGTATCTATGCTTTAATGAATACCTGGAAATTAGCTCTACAACTCACTTCCAAATCGCTCAAAAATTCCCGAAGTGTCGTGAGACTTTCACCCGGCTCGTAGAAAGTTTGTCTCGTATTCGTGAAACAAAACACAATATTTTTAGCAGCTGACACACTAAGATTTGCGAGCAGTTCATTGATGCAATACCTAAAGGGAATGTTCATACGACTGTTGTTCGACTTCAACAGGATACAGATACCATGAATTTCATCGAGGTTTCCGATGAAATCGAGAATGTTTTGGAGGTTTTCGGCATCTCGCAATGGGCCTGCCGTATCACCCATTCCCGGGGTGTCGATTATTTGAATTACTTGATCATCTGCTTTAATAAGATAAGATTTTATATGTTTTGTGAGAGAGGGGATAGCGTGAAGAATCACATTTTCGATTGCCACTTCAAAACTTTCATACGCCAACGAGTTGAGAAAAGTATTGATAAGAGTCGATTTACCCTCATCTGTCTCTCCCAATAATAGAATATTTATGTGATTTAGAGAGTTTAGTCTTGTGATGGAAAGAATGTGCCTTCCTTGTAAATGTAAATTTCGGGCTTAGTCGGAGCACCAGACATTCCCTTGAGCAAATCGAGATCGATAAACGCACAAATTGTTCCATTTTTGATAAGAGACGCGAATGTTTCTCGTTGCTCACTCATCGTTTTCCAGGCACCACACACAAAAATCATAGTTTTCAGAGAACCCAGTCGCTTAAGGGCATTAGAATCTTCCAATAATTTCACTCCACTTTTGTGTAACTCGTCTAAATAAACAATTTTCTCAAAGAATTCTTTTAACAAAAAATTCTCTTCTTGGTGGTTTTCCCTCCTTGCATTGACAAGGTAAAACCAAATGGATTCCTTTAGATTTCGTTCAACTAGTTTTGGTGACTCTGCCAATGCAATGACGTTCTTCTCTTTTGGCATTAGAAACGGTTTGTATTTTTTGATTAACTCCTTCAGAATTTCCAAGTTCCCATTGAGTTTTCGTTTTAGTTGATTGATTTCTTCGAAATACTGAACGAACCTTGCAGAATCTTCCGCACTTGTAGGGAAAAAATTGAGTGTTTCTTTGGTTGGTAATGGAAGAGATTTTAGTGGGAATAAAATACACCGAATTGGTCGATTCTGAGTATCATGACTTTGCAAAGATTTCAAGCTTTTCATCTTCGAGATGGCTGCGTCGAGTTGATTCGTAGCAAACTTGGTTCCACAATGGAAATTGAGCTGCATGTTGTCAGGAATCTCGGGCAGTTCAGAATTGCTTTCACAGTGTTCACGAATTGATCTCAGCTTTTTCTAAAGCAACGACTGATTTATTGCCAAGAACCTCGCTATAAATTACCTTGAGATAGAGATTGAGCTCATAGAAAAGCACCAACTTGCAATTCATCGGAACCATTCGTTCCATCAGTGAAGCACAACTGCAGAACCGCAAGCGCTCCATACTCGATTTCTTTCACAAGATATGTGGCATGTCGATTCGGGGGAGTGACCCAACCTTTTCTCAGACCTTCACTTCTCACATCCAGCTTTTCTATCTAATGCTAGGTTTTTATTTTTTCCAAACGGTTTATGTGAAATTACACCCTTTATCTAATAATCTAATCAATCTCACCTTTCTGCTCACTTTATAGATCAGGAATGCCGAACTTCGAGGCTCAAAAAGAAGTCGACCCACATTTGTTGTTGGACAAATCTCCGATTGAAGACTGAGCTGAAAAGTCTTTTTAAAACATTAAATAATAAAGTAATTAGTGCAAATGCTCACTTTTCAACCCAGCTTGGTGAAATCTTTTGAATCTAAGTTGCGGAAATACCGAAAGTAAAAAATAACCTGTTGATCCCGATCAATGTTCAATAGCCGAACAATGTTTGAGTTGGTTCCCTCGAAAAAGCACTCTGACTCAAAGAAAGTTGCCGTGACCTCGTCTCGGATGTCTGATTTCCACGGAAACTCATCGATGGCCGTATCTTTACATGCATTGTACAATTGGCCAATTTTTAAGGAGCTCGAGAAATCCCAACGGTGAATCGACACATTTGGATCATTTTGTGATGAAATTTGCTCGGGGGTCAACATTCTCTAAAACTGGTAAAAGTGAAACAATAAAACAAGCATAATGTTTTCAAAAAGTTATAAAAAATAAAATTACAGGATAATCCAACGCTAGATAAAAACTTCCAAAAACACTGCAATTTTCGGACGCAAGGAAATTTTTTTTGATTGGTGACCGAACGGAAAATAATTTTTATCTTTTTACTTGCCAATTTTTCCGTGCATCACCCAATTTGGTTGTTTTGAGAAGCCAAACGGCTTTTCACCCAAATAACAGAAATTTCTTGCCAGAAAAAAATTTATTGAGAAAAAATTTTCCTTGCGAAACCGAAATCTCTCAAAAGCTGTTAGATTTTTATAAGAAATCTTCTATATTTTAAGGTTTTTCGGCTGGTAACAAGGATAAATCGGACTATGATGTTTGAAGAAAAATGGAAATAAAATGTCTTTCTCAATTGAAAGGGCTTAATTCCAGGAAATACAGTAGTTCCCAAATTTTGTAAGGGAATTCTTTTACTCGTATCTTGATATTTTTCATCTCTTGCTTTGTCGATTGCATTTTCCATAGTTGCTTGTTTAGACATTTTATTTACAATATTAAAAGGCACACTCGTCAAAACAAAACTGTATAGAATTACATTGTACACAAACACAATAAAAGGGATAACGTATTCCCACTTAAAATTAGCAATAGTAGAAAATAGCTTAAAAGGGCAGAAACACAAATAATAGGCAAAGAAAGTTTCGAGTTACAATTCCATTGAAGTCTCTAGTTCAGCACCCCGCTGACAAAGTCCAGCATTTTCCATTCGGAATTTCTCACTTTAGCCGGATCGAAATATTTTTCGGTATAAGAGAAGTTCTGTTTTTCTCCAATAACTGAAGCTTTTAGAAGTTCTTGAAAGGATTTTCCATTCATTGCAAGTCCTTCTAGTTCGGATATCAAATTCATAACCTCATCGGCGGTGATCACCACGTTGCTTCCTTTCTTCAAGGCTTCATCGATAGTTTTCTTCTCTTCTCTGTAAATTTCGATATTCTCTTTGTAGGTTCTCAATTTAAAGTCGTTCGTTTTCCCGGCGGCAATCAGTCTCTCTTCTTCTTTGATTGCATAATTTAGGTAGTCCTCTAACGCATCATTGTACGTTTTGATCGCATTTTCTCTCAAAAACGTTGCAAATTTGGCCCCGGAAGATAAAATTGTTGCATGTTCTTTTGTCAACTGACTTTCAATATGTGTGATTGATAACAAAGCTTGTCGAATTATCTCTTCCTGTTGTTCGTTGTTTTCAATAGCTTGTCTTACAGGTGGATCATCGACTTCTTTTGATACCTAAATGAGTTCTGGTAGGTAGAATCCTTTCTAAAAGCTTGCTGTAGTGAGACTAGATATTTTGACTTTTGAACCGACCTGCTTTTGCTCAAAATATATGTGCATATGTTGGCTCCACTTGCATCCACAATGAGTACAATTAATGAAAAGCCATCCAGACATGGCAGCACAACGTTGTAAAGCGGGCTCGGGCACTGTTTCCTTGACCACATTGGTAAGGTAGCATCGAGCATGACAATGGGTTTTATAAATCGTTTGCATAGCTGGCGAATTGGTGATCTTTACCGTATCCACGTGATTGGGAGAGGTACACACTGTTCGCGGATGTTTCAGGGATTTCACTTCAATTCCCAAGTGTACAATTTTCACTTTATTCAACAAATCTTCTCGTGTTCCTTTATGTCTTGTGAGTTCTTCTTGTTTAGCTTTCAAAAGATCCCGATTCAATTGGATATTGTTCATAATGTCCGCGAATGGTTTGGCCAAAGTTAGAATCAGTCGACGAGCATTGTTGATAGAGACTGTGTCTTGGAGTTGATGTGGAATGAAGCGTAAAACTTGATTGAACAATCGCCTCGTCGCTGATTGCGATTCTTTCCAGCTCTCTCTGAAAATTACAGTTTTACTATACATTTGTCATTATTTATTATTATTATACATATACAACTCTTTTGGCTTAGAATAAATTAGTCAATGTACTGCTATTTTGAGATTCTCCTAAAGCTCTACGTAAAATTGTGTTTAAACTAACTTTAACTAGCATACCTGTACACTTTGAGGTGTTTTTCAGGAAATTTGATGCCTTGCTTGGCCGCAATCAAGAAACGGAAAGCCTCGTTGTCCAAACAAAACATTGTGTCATCATTTGCTTGGATATCAACTCCGTTTTCATTTTTCAAATCTTTTAAGAACTTCTCCAAGATGCAAAGTGTGTCACCCGGCTCAAAAAAGGTTCCACGAGCATTAGTGAAACAGAAAACAATGTTTCTTGACGCACTCCGACTCAAATGTGTTAAGAGTTCGTTTATTCGATAACCGAAAGCAGGAGTCAAACGGGATTCGTTTGGTTTGATCAAGATACATATCCCATGAAGTTTCTTGAGTTGAGCAATGTAACGAAGCACGTTTTCTAAGTTCTTTTTATCTTGATCGGGCCCCTTCGTATCCCCAATTCCAGGAGTGTCAATGATTCGAATTTTTCCCTGTGGTGTATTAAAGACATGAGCTAGTGCCGTTTGAGTGGCTGACTCGCCGACATTCGACGACTCATTTGTGAATTCTCCAAATTCAACAACATGTTGCTTACGGTCTTCATCGGCAATGGCAAATCTTGTTGGGATTAGACAAACGGTTTCGCTTTCGGCCGCTTCTTCGAGATTCTCGAAAGTGAGATAATTTGCAGTCGCATTGATCCATGTCGACTTGCCAACACCGGTCTCACCAAGGAGAAGAATGTTCAACGCCTCGTCGATTGCATCTGAATGCATCATCTGATGCTTCTTCGTGCATCTGAATTTCGTTTTTAACTTTATGATCAACCAGAAATCTTTGACAGTTGACATAGTTTGACAACGAGAAATGTACAAATTAAAAAATGGAACTTTGTGGAAATTAATATAGAAGATATGCTCTTGCGTAGTTTTCGGGTATTTTGAACGGGTCGTCACGCCTCTAACTTTGTTCACAGTTAATATTTTTGTTAACTTTTTATATCATAGTACAGAGAAAATTCCAGGCTTCCAAATGATATCAAATACCGTTTTTTTTTTGTTTATTGTTTTGTTTATGTCATTGTCTTTTGTTTATGTCAAAATCTTCCTTAGAGTAAGATCCTAGAAGTTGTCCTAGAAGTAGTCCTAGAAGTAGTCCTAGTTCTCAAAACAGGTGATCAATTTGCTCATCCACCTGAATGAGAAGACTGAACTCAACATTTCTCTTCTCTCGAAACATATCCGAACTTTTTTTGTCAACAATTTTCAAATAGGTTCTCAAATAGAGAAATAAGCTCAGATAAATGACAAACATTACAGCGGGAAGACCCGTGTTTTGACCACCATTAAACTGAAACTCATTGTTATTTGATAGAATTTATAAGCTTACATTCAAGATCCCTTGTCCAACAGCCGTGACACAAGTATGAAAGAAATAGAATCCATCGGTGGAAAAGTTCTACAACCAAAGAATTATCTTGTCGATGTATCAGCCAATTGACGTAAATTGCCGGACTATAAGTCCGGCAATTTATAAAGCTATAAAGCTATAAAGCTATTAGCTATAAAGACTTCAGTTTTTCAAAGTTATAACTTGATTTGTAACAGGGACAACTTGACACGAGCCTCACATACCAAGCTCATATCATCTAGGCAACACTAATTCCCTGCCGTTAATTCTTTGAGCTTTTATGTTTTGAAATAGAATACTAGCCGTGCTTCTACCTAATAACAAGTTTACTTATTCGTAGTGGATATTCAGGGTTAAGCAATGAGATTTATCAGACCCGTCCAGACTGCACAGACCAAGCTCGTATCAACTAAGCAACATTAATTCCCCGCCATTAAATGTTCAAGCTTGGCATATTTTTGAAATAAGATACAGGGCGTTCTCCCCAAGTAATAACAAGTTTACTTATCCATAATGGATATCCAGGGTTTAGCAATGAGATTAATCAGACCACTCGAGACTCGATTCCAGCCTCACATGCCATATTCGAATCATCTAAGCAACGTGAATTCCACGCCGTTAAAGTTTGAAGCTTTTGACGTTTTGCAATAGAGTACGGGGCGTACCTATAGTCAGTTTGACTATTATATGCAAAATTTTATGCAGTTTCTAAAAATCTAATTAGTTTTGTGGGTTAGACGGGCCATTCTTTGTAAAAACGCGGTTTCTCGATTTCCCCTTGAGCGTGGGCGAGTGGTTTAAGGCGCTGTTTGTCAGTCCGGCGCCAAAGAGGGGGTTCTTCGTTCGATCCCTCTGCAATGCTCGAATCTTTTTGCACATTTTGAACAACAGAAATGGTAATTAATACTTTAAACTCAACATTTCGACTGAAAAAATAGATGCTTAACGAAGACCAACCTTCGTTAAGCAACAATCGATTTGGAATTTTAAAGAGTTTTGTTTAACAATTTCTAAAATCAAAATCTATTTTGTTTAACTGCAAATGATTTCTAAAATCACTATAGCTTGCTCTAAGCACAATTCGATTTCTTTTTCACAGTAGCAAAGTTTAAAAGAGATCATTCAAAAGAGAAAGTTCAAAAGAGATCAAAAGATGAATTATTCATCCTACTCGACAGATTTTTCTCACTATGAAAACGAACAACTTTCTATTTTTTGATTTAGAAACTGCTTTGTTTCGATAATGCTTTGAAGGCTGGTTGAAGTAATCACAAAGCAGGCTGCAACAAGTTTGAACCCACACAAATGAAGTGGAGAAAATTGATGGGGTTCGGTAAAATCCCTCTTTTATTATTCGGACTTGTTTTTAGCTTTTCATCATGCTGTTCATTGTGCAAAATGGGTAAATATTTAGAATTTTTACCTTTAAACTAATGGACAAGTGCTTAGCCAAAGCTAGATATAAAGCTATGCCCAAGGTAGCATAGTTGTTATGGTTCTTGATTGATAAATATGGTAATCCGATCTGAATCCGAAGCTCAAAAACTTCCTTCGGATAATCCGTCTTCGA